GGGAGCATCCATGGTGCTCCACATCAGGGCTCTGAAAGCCATGGCACGGCATCTTTGGTGCCACTGCCCAGCACTCCCTTTTGCAGGGCTGCTTTCCAGAGTCTGTTCTTTGCCAAATACTAAACATTCCTCTCCTGAGGGCCTCAGAAATATCCAAGAAGGAGGCAGATGGAAAGAAAACATGTCTCTGTTATTTTGCCTCTAATTGTTCTGGCATATTTTGCCTTGCTAAACCTCAACTTTCATCCCAGCTGCAAGGAACATGAGAGGTAACCCACATGGCACCAGGAGGGGACAGGCCTGAACTATGACTATGGAATGTCCTGAGTTGGAAGAGTTCAAGGCCAGGTTGGATGGGGCTTGGAATAACCTATTCTAGGGGAAGGCGTCCCTGCCTGTGGCAGGGGGTTGGAATGAGGTACTTTAAGGTCCCTTCTAACCAATCCATTCTGGGACTCTGTGACCACTCACAAGGATGATCAAATCTCTCTCCTGGACTGAGGAGGTGGTTGCAGAGCCATGGCTGTAAGTGATGTTGCTTTGTGTTGCACTGCAGGAAGGATGAAACCACAGGTTATTATCCCTCCATGTACCTGCAGAAAGCTGGGGAGGTGAACACCTCTGTGAAGAGTGAGCTGAGGAACCGGGGTGCTCCCCCACGGAGGTGAGAGAAGCTCTGTGTAAAGGGCAGAACATCTGCCTCTTCCTTGAGGGAGATGAAATTAAACCAGACAGGCTGTTGTGGTGTCACCTGCTTGCCCTGTCAGTGAGGAGCTGCCTGGAGAAATGTAAGCAGGGCACAGACAAAGCAGGGCTGTCCTCCCACCAGTTCTGTGCTCCCCAAATACCACAGGCACCCCTGCATTGCTGATGCAGGGCTCCAAGATCCTTGTTCCAACAGGTCCACCCGTCAGGTGTATTTCTCCTTGTCCTTCTGCAAACTTTATTTTCTGGGCGAATTTTGTTTAATTTTCAAATTGGCCATTTTCTTGCTTCCTAAGTGTGTGCACTGAATCTTTCAGAGGCAAGGAGACATTTGGCTAAATAAAGCTGCCGAGTGGCCTAATCTAATGGGAAGATTTGAGCTAATGCAAGGGATTTTATTTTGATTAAAAAGATAAAAAGCAATAATAATTCATGAATTCCAGTACAAAGGGAATGACTAAAAAGTGCAGAATTTGCTGCTATCTCTTTTTTTCTGCAAGATGACACATCAGGCCTGCTATAAAATCTCTCCAAATCCAATTTTGCTGGAGCATGGATTGAGTGTGAGACACTGTAAAATGGTCCAGATCCACTTATTTGAACACAGTGATGTTTGCTGGTAGCCCTGGGGGAGATGAGTGGCCTGTTCCAAGGACGGTGGCTTGTCTCCCTGCCATTGTGACTGCTGCCTCCACGGCACTGGCAGCCAGGCCAAGCCCCACTGTGAATGTGGTGACCTGTTGTGGGCAAGAGCTTTGCTATGATGTGGGGTATGTGCTCAGACCAGGAAGGGGCTGAAGGCAGACAAGCACATTTCTTTGAGAAGAGCAGGAGGACGATGCCATGGGGTGGACATCAGGAACCACCTCACTCCTGCCGTGGTACTGAAGACAAAGCAGGGGCCTCTGTCTGCCTGCCTGGGGACAGTCCCCAGTGCTGGGGGTTCCCCTGCAGCAGCCCCAGGCTGCTCAGCTTTTCACTTCTCTCAGTAGTTTCTCTCCTGTGGGTTGAACACCGCACATCCGGGTGCACACTGACACATGCCCCACACTCCACTCCCTTGTATTGGAGCCTCAGGGAGCCATGCCAAGCCCTACACCAGGGACCTCAATTTTGTGGCCAGGATAGGTGCTGTATGTTCATTCATCAAAGAGCTATAGATCACTCCTGGGGCTTTCTTGGACAAACCTCATACCCATCTTATCCTTCCAGCCTTACACCCAATCTTCCTCACCAATCCCTATCATTACTTTCCAGATTTGTGCTCAGGGTTCACCCTTCAGTGGTTCCTTGCAAAGCCCCATCCAGCTGCCTCTGAACACATCGCAGATTGTGTCTCACTGATGGCATCCACCAGGCAAAACCCAAAAGCAGAAACTGGGGTTTGGGTGAAGCAGAGGAGGAAGTGAGGGGAAAGGAGGTGTGTGGTGTGAGAGCTGCCAGCATGAAAACTGAAAGTTTTGTTTCTCGCTCCTTGCAGATCCACCATCCGAAATGTGAAGAGCATCCACAAGCAGGGCCGGAAGCAAATCAGCCAGGAGACCTACAGGAGGAACAGCAAGAAGTACACCCAGAACCAGCGGAAAATGAGGGGAAATTCCCAGAACAAGGCCAATGTCATCAGTAAGTCTCAATGGAAATGGAATCCTGACCCTTGTCCCCCAGCAGTGCTGGCAGCTGGAGCAGGGTGGCACACTGAGGTCACACCATGCCCATCTGTCCTTTTCCCATGGGGAAAGTCTGTGCAGGGAGGTGTTTCTTTCAACGAGTTTTCTCACCCCTGGCTATAGGTCAGACAGAGCAGAATATGGTCCTTGAAGGAGGTCAGCCCACATTTGGGACCTGTGCTTTCCTTCGTGCACCTAACCTCCCCCATGCTGCCATTACCATTGCAATTGCCATGTATGTTAGCTGTCAGCAGAGCCCCCAGAAGGAAGTGTTACATGAAGAATCATAGAATTCTAGAATTCAGTTTTGGTAGGAAGGGACCTTAAAGACCAATTAGTTCAAAGCTTCCCCTTGATTGGATTGCTCCAAGCCTCATCCAAGCTAGCCTTGAAAGGGAAGCCACAGTTTCTTTGGGCAACCTGTTTCCCACTACCTTCACAGAAAAGAATTTTTTCCTAATATTTAATCTAACCCTGGCCTCTGACAGTTTGAAACCACTCCCTTTTGTCCTACCAGTTCAAGTGTTTGTAAAAAGTGTCTCTTCATGAAGAAGGAGAGAGGTAGTCCTTGAGGTTTACCCTTTATATCTGCTAGACCCCACACAGTACCTCCCCAGAGCTAAAGAGGGGCAGACCTCATGCAGACCTAAAGGCAGGCTTTCCCTGAACACAGTTCCCAGTGGGCACTGGAGGGCATGTCCTGACACCATGACCTACAGGAAAACCACTACATGCAGCAGGGACAGGGGGAGAGGCAGGAGCTTTGGTGGCCATGATGTAGGAAGCTGCTGAATGTTCATGAGGGTGGTGTGTGGTGAACAGCTCTGATCCATCTGTACACCTTTTTTACTTGCAGTTGAGAAAAATGAACCAGAGGACAACAAGCCCAAGGCTCAACCTGCTGTTCCTCCCCGTCCCAGCAAAGACCTCATCCTGAACCGCTGCACTGAGAGCACGTGGAGGAAGATCCTGTGAGGATCCTGTGAGCCCCTACACCAGCCACCCAAAGCTTCATCTCCTCCAGCTCCTGTGCAGCTAGGGCTTGGATCTAGGGATCCAGGGATCCAAGGATCCAGGTGGTTGTGGCAGCCACCACAGGCCGGGGAGGCTGCGGCCGTATCAGCCCGGCCTAGTGCCCCTCATCCTCCATCACAGCCAGCCCAAGGTGTCCTGATTGCACTCTGAGGAGGGACCAGCCCTGCTCTACCAGCTCCTTATAAGTACCAAGTCCTTATCTCTAGATGCCATTCTAATACCTCTTTGTATTTTGAATTATTTTTGTGGTTTTCATCAATAAAGGAGAGACACTTGACAGACTGTGAGGAGCAGTGTGGGCATGGCGGCAGGAAAGGTGTTCCTCCAGGTGGATATTGGGCAAGGAACTCTTGCAAAAGATGCTGTCAGTGAGGAAATTTATTTGAGGGGATGAAAGGACAGCAGCTTCCTCCTGGAGTGAGGGCTTAGTGTTGAGAGAGGGCTGCTTCACAGTTGGAGTGTGGTGGGATGGCTGCACTTGGTTCTGGCCACAGGCAGCCCTGCCATCGCTGTGCCAGACAGGGCTGGCTTTGGGTGTGATCTCGGTCTGGGTTTGGGATGGGGCTGGGTTTGGACCTGGGTTTCAGTTTTGATCTTTGGAGCTGGGTCTAAGTCCACATTGAGGTCTGGGGGTGTGTTTAGATTCAGGTCTAGGTCGGGGTGTAGGTTTAGGTGTGTTATAAATGAGGTCCCTATATGTCCTTTAATAAACCACAAGATTTAAAATTTAGCAGCAATTTTAATTGAAGTATAAAATAATAATACAGTCAAATATAATTCAGTAGTTACAAAAAGAAATTTGGCAGTGGTTCAGATAAAGCATAAGGAAAACCGACTGGAGTACACGGAGGGCTTCCCACTCTACTTCACGTACAGAAGGCAAAAGAATCCACACACAATTTTTATACTGTATGCTAATACATATTCATCAATATTTCCTGTAAATCTCCCATTTTCGATTATTGAAATCTACATGAGTATTCTGCACAGCACATGCTCCATTGTTGCTATGGAGTCTCCTGGTCTTTACAAGGGTCTTGCTGGAGGAAGGCCAAAGGTCTTCCTCACAAGTCCTGTGGATAACCTGGCAGGTGGCGCATGCGCTTTGGGCTTGGTGTTATATAAATAAGCACTATGTTCCAATTAAACCTTTTTTATTTCATAGATAAGACACTAGTTTAGACTCCCTGTCCGGAATGGTCCCAATTTTATTCATGTTCAAGGTCGATCCTGCTCTGGGAGTTGTCTTTTCACTTCAGTTGGTGCCAGTTTTGGTTTGGGAGTCAGCTCCTGACTTCCTCCCTTTCCCACGGCCGAATCCAACTCCTGCACCCTGCTTCCCACATGAATTCTTGAAGAAACCCATCTGCTTCGTAACACTAATCCCATATACATTTCCAATTATTCTCCCAAATTACTGATACAATTAGATCTTATTCAGCTGGAATCACACCCATTTATCATTTATCAAGGGGTGAGTTTGCGCCTCAGGCTCGGGGCGGGCGGGCGCTCCCCTCAGAGGGAGGCGCGGTCCCTTTAAGAGCACCGCGCATGCGCGGGGGGCGGCGCTGCGCGGGCCGCGTGTGGGAGCGGCCAAGATGGCGGCGGCCTGAGGGCGCTGATGGCGGGGCTGGCGCGGCGCCTCTTCTGCCGGGGCTTCTGCGCCCCGGCGGTGCCGCCGGGCACCCGCCAGCTGCGGCGGGCCGAGGAGGCCGCCCCGGTGTTCCAGTACGCGGGGAAGGCGGCCAAGCGCAAAGACCGTGTGTTCGTGTGGGGTTTCAGCTACTCGGGCGCCCTGGGCATCCCCAGCTTCGTGAAGCCGGACGCGGGCTGGAAGAAGCCGCGGCGCATCCAGGGCACGCCGTACCGCCTGGAGACGGAGGAGAAGGTGCGCCCGGCGGGTCTGCCCCGGCCTCCGAGCCCGCTCCGGGCTTAGCACAGCTGAGAGCGGCGTTTAAAGGCTTTGCTGTGATTCAGTGGTTTTATCGACATAGTGGTATTGCTTGGGATGAGGACTGTCTAACTGCAGCAGCGTAGAGTTTACAAAAGATGTATTTGTAATTTTGTCAGAGGCATTGAAGAGTACTTGCCAGCTAAAATGGGTCTCTTCCCGTGGCTCCCACCTGGCAAACGGGAAGCTTGTGTTGAAAATCATGTTACTCTTTTGTCAGCGTGTTTCGCTCGAGCTCTGCTCTCGAGTGCAGAGGAGGTCAGAGCGTTCACAGAATATTTGTAATATTCGGGAAGGGACTCAAGGATGACGGAGCGCAGCTCTGGCCCAGTGCAGGACAGCCCAGCAATCCCACCCCAGACCTGAGAGAATTGTCCGAACCCGCCCTGGGGCCAGGCCCTTCCCTGTTCAGTGCCCGGCCGCCCTCGGGGGTTAGAACCTTCTCAAATCCAGCCTAAACCTCCCCCAGCACAGCTGCCCTCGGCTCCTGTCCCTGGTCCCCAGCAAAGGTCGGGGCTGCAGACCCCAGGGGGATCTGACCTGTCTCCATTTCTCCAGGCCGAACACACCAAGTGACCACAGTTGCTCCTCATGTGACTCTTATGCTGGGTGCTTTTGTCAAAAGGAGTAAAACATGTTATTCACTTAATATCTCTGGGGTTGTTTGTTTGTTTGTTTGTTTGTTTTTAAATCTGCTGATGCAGGTCAGCAGACAGGTCTTTTTTGTGGTGTTGAATAGGGCCAAGGTAATGCAGAAATAAAGGTGTATGCACACAAAACCAAAACTTTTAAGGCAGAATGGTTGGACCTGTGTTTTCACCACTGTGCTTATCACAGAAGACTGGTAATTTTTGGACACCATACATGCCATGAATTTGGGCTGCATGTGAATGTAACTTAATGAAGAATGAATGCTGATGAGCAAGTAGCATGGAGTGAAGCTTGCTTTTCTAAGCCACAGCTTCTAACTGAAAGGTGTGGGTTTTGTCTGTCTTCAAAGATATCCTCTGCTGCCTGTGGTTATGGATTCACACTGCTGGCTTCTAATACCAGAGACATCACCAAAGTGTGGGGCATGGGGCTCAACAAGGATTCCCAGCTTGGATTTCAGAGAAGCAGAAGAGATCAAAGTAAGGATTTAAGTGTTTTAAAGACTTACAGGGTGACACTGCAGTATGCCTGTGGTACAGGAATCTTCATGAGTTTGGAGCTGTGAAAAACATCAGGAGCCTTTGATGCTGTCTCAGGTTGTGCTTTATTTTTTAAACAGATCTTTCTCTGAAATTTATATGTGTTTTTGTGTGCTTTGTAATTGGTCAACACGTGCCTCTGTTCTGTACACTGCACTTAATTAGTTTCATCTGGATAGGAGTGTAGCTGTTTATTCTTCAAAGTGATGTTGGTTAATCTGTAGCTTTGAATCTATAGTTTGATAGTAGGCACAGTTTAGTTAATAAAATCATTTTGGCAGGATGTTTTGCTCGCTTCTGTTACCTTTGCACTTAAAAACTAAAGTCCTTTAGTTTTCCTTCCCTTCTCAGTTAAGAGTTTTTTATACAGTCTGTGGGGCTTTTGTGAAGCTGTAGGGTTTAAAATTATTTTAATAGCAGGTTGCATTTTGAAGGAAAAACATGGTTTTCAGTTATTTTGTCTTACACCAGGCTCTCAAACTCTTTTAAGAAGGCGATTTCTGTGCAGAACATTGCCACCTACCACCGAAGACAGGAAAAACACAAACTTTCCTCATAGAATGGCCGAGTGCCTAGGCATTTTGTCATAAACAGTTGAGGAAAATCACAGTAGAAGCAGTTTTTGTCATTTTGATATATAAGACTGTAATCCGTCAAGGTAGGGTGTGTCTGATATGGGCAGAAGATTAAACTTGGTGGAGAAGCAGAAGAAAATTGCAGCATGTTGAGGTTTGCTGTGGTGCTGCTTTGTGGGGCGCTCTGGGTGGTTGTGGAAGTGTGTGCACACAGCAGGTGTGTGCTCAAGCAGCAGCTGTAAAATGCAGGGGCTGCAGAAGCTTCTGCTCACTTCTGCTTTTAAAGGTTTCAGCTTTTGCTGGGTCTAATGTATGTGCTGATGTCTTAGGAGTGTCTTGCAGTTACCTTTTTTTTATTATCTGACCTGGAAATTATTTTTGTCAGAGAATCCATTAGTAGGTTAAACAGTTTTGCAGTTCAAGGCTGTCAAGTAAGCGAGTGTGTTTGGTAAGATGGGTTGAAAATGTGAAGATCAGTGGGATTGCTACTGCTCCATGTTTAATGTACCCCCAGACAAGTTTTCCTTTGGGATGTGTTGCTCATTGCTGTTTTACAGGCTGACTTTGGTGCCTGGTGCTTCCAGCACTGCGTTGCTGTAGATACTTCATTTCCAAGGGAATTTGCAGCCTTCTGACTTTTAGATGGTTGCATCTAAACTACTGCATATTTCACACTCACCCCCTGTTCCTTACCCACCTCGTTGTCTCTTTTTCCAAATCCCCTCAGCAATGGTTACTACATATCCCAGTAGGATGTGTCTTTCTGCTGGAGGGAACAGAGAGAGGAAAAGGTTATTTAGCTTGGTGACTTCCAGGTGTTTCTAGACAGAGAGTTAGTTGTCTTTAAGTTCCTGCTCTATTGCATGGCAGATGCTCACCATTGGCAAGCTGCCTGTTGTGCTGCCTGTCCTCACATCCAGTAATGTCTTACCATGAAAGACCTGTATAGATTTTTAATTTTTTTTTAATCTTACGTGGTTTTTTGTTGTTATTTTTTATTTTTGGCTGTGTTTTTTTGTGGTTTTTTTTTTTTTTAGTTTTTATTTTTATTGAAGGCAGCAAGGGCCAGTAAAGTACTGCTCCCTGTATGCAATATTGCTTTGGGTCCTCTAATTTCTCTAATTACAATAACTTTGATATCAAGGCATTTTATCTCCTTTTAACTTTTCCCCTAGTATTGATTTATGGTTTGCTGTTCTTTCCCCCCTGCTCCAGTTGACTGTAACTGATTCTGTATTCTTCAAGTTGCTAAATCTCTTTTAAGTACAGCATGTCATTTTTCATAAACGTTAGATGTCTTATTCACTATGGACCTAGCCTAGCTAGTCTTTCTTGCATTCCTTAGTTCTGAAAGTGCCTGTAATCTGCTTTTCTTTAAGATTTTTTTTCACCTTTCCTGCTACTTTTTTGTGATTGTTGCTCTTGTACCTTGTTTGCAGTATTCCCAGTTGCAAAGAACGTTTGTGTGTGATATTAAGCTCTAGTGATGCAGCTGTATTCACCAGAGTGGTTGAACATGCTGGTGAAAGCCTCAGTTTCACAATTCTGCCACCTGAAGCCTTAATAACATTCACCCTCTGGTAATTGTGGACTTTCATTTAGGCAGTGATTGACTTCAGCAATCTCCATAGCTTTTACCTTCTCCTTCTCTCTGTCAGCCTCTTTGGTTAGTGTCTTGGCTTTCTAAAATGTATCTGCTTCTATAACAAAGCAGAAGTAAGTGTGTGAATGTACAAGATCAGCAAATATTTGTTAGATTTACTTTGTGGAAACTACTGACTTAAAATTGTTCTCTTTTCCTTAAGCTAAGGGCTATGAATATGTCTTGGAACCATCTCCAATTCCATTACCACTGGAGAAACCACAGCAAACTCGAGTCTTGCAAGTGTCCTGTGGGAGAGCGCATTCCCTGGTCCTGACAGATAGTGAAGGAGGTACAATGTTGCTTGTGTTGGTGATGTCTATGGGTACCTGGCTATGCTTTTACTAAAAGCTTGAAAAAAATTGTCTTCTGTCCTTTAGAACTATATCCCAGCTGGGCTGTTTGCACTGTATATGGGATGCAGGCAGCTGTTGGCCTTTGTAGGATTTCTTCTGCGAGGGAAAGCCATGAGCTTCACTTGGCTCAAGTTGTAAATGTGTTGGGACTTTTTACTACAAGTTTTGTTTCTCTAGCCCCAGGTCTGGCTGAGTGCAGCCTGATTTTTTCACTCAGATGTGTTTTTGAACACAGATTTGGGTGACTATGCCAGTACTCCTGTGTTACTTCCCCTTTAAGCCCCAGAGTGACATGTTTATTAAATAAATAAATTAATTAGTAGTTTATCGAGAAGATCTTGTTTGTGAATTGTCTCTCCACATCTCTGGGAACTCTTTGGTGCAGTGTCTTCAGTGCTGCACCAAGTGATCCAGTGCAGCTTCTTAGTGAGCTGGTTGGTTCATTGATTCCCACTCCTGTGGGATTGCTGATCTGTTTCTGAGTCTCTTTGACAGTGGCAGGATGAGCTTGGCAATTCCCCACTGTGACAGACAGCGGGCTCCAGGCACTGCTGCTGTGCCTACAGCAATACTGCTGGTGAAAATGGATTCAGTCACTTTCATTCAAGTGGCCTTTGAAAAAAGGTTATACCTATTTTTACATTGCTGTTCTCTACCTTTCAGACTTAGAACTGACTGAAAATATTTTGAGGACCTGAAAAGAGGCTTTCAGGGTATTGGGCAGTAATAAAACTCGTGTGTTTTATAATTGTTTTTCAGTTTTCACAATGGGAAACAATTCTTATGGACAGTGTGGCCGGAAGGTTGTTGAAGATGAAATTTACAGGTGAGAATTCAAAGATCAGGAACTTTCTTATTGTTGGAAACATAATTGCATGAAAACAACTCTGCAGAAAAACCTGAAGGTGGAAAAGGTCTAGTAGTATAAGCATTTCATTTAAAATTAGGGAGTCTGAGAACTGAGGTTTTTGTGCTGCAGGTGTCATACAAGCAGCCTTTGAACCCAGGCTTGGGCACTAGCATGCTGCTGACAACATTCACAAGAGACAAAAGAATATCAGCATGGGACAGTTCTTTTAGGGCGTAGTGGGAGAACCCAGCCTTCATAAATTGCTTGAGGTAATTGGTGTTAGTAGTTGGGCTTTCTCCCTTTAGCTGCTCAGAGTACCTGTACTGTTCCTGAGGATGTTAGAAGTGCCTTTTAATTATGAAAGAGGCATCTTCTTGTTAAGTCTCTTTTGCATCTGCCTCTGAGTCTGATGCTTTTCCTTCACTGGGCTTTTTCTACAAAAAAACCCATTTCCTTCATTGGGTTTTTGTGAGTCTCACCAAAGCATAGGCTCAAAGTGCTTTGTATGATAGAGTAAGTGAATAGTGGGAATATGTTGAGTTTCTGATTCCCTAGTAGGACCAAAAATTGCTCTGTGATCACAACACATGGTCTGTAAAGTTTGAGAAAATAGCTGTAAATAGGTAGCTTTTGTTAGTCTTGATACTGGAAGTCAGTCATTGGATTGTTGATAATCCCTGGTACTGTGAAAAAATGACAGAGATGTTAGCACTACACTGTGCTCTGGGATATCTGGTTTATCTCTAGCTAAGTGTAGTGTTTATATGGGTATTGCAGTATTGTGTCGTGTGTCTGCTCATTCTAGACTAGGGACTGACTTTGAGGGTTGCCCCTACCCCCAGTCACAAGAGTTTATATTTAAAAATGACAGTTCTAGACTTCTTAAATAAGAGAATATAGAATGATGTTCCTTCTTTGTGCAGGTATTTTGCAGTGAAACTACATGCAAACAAATTTCTCTACTTGTGGTAATAAAATGGCTTTCAGTAGAGGCAGGTTTACCTTTGTGTTTTTTTGCAGTCTTCTGAAATCCTCTGTGTTGCCTTTTCTCTTCTTGGTGGTTGGTTGGTGTCCAGTGGAAGCCATCTCATTCATCAGCTGAAGGAATTTGACAGCAGAGTTGTCCAGGTGAGAGGATCATCAGAGCTCAGTCCTGAGGATGAATTGGGAACCAGCTGAACAACCAGGCTCAGAGGGTGGCAGTCACTGGCTCGAAGCTGAGTTGAAACAAGTAACAAGAGTGGGACCCCAGGGGTCTGGGGTCCAGTCCTGTTTACATTTTCACTGGTGATCTGGGTCACAGAGTGTTCCCTCAGCAGACAGCAGGTGACATAAACTCTGAGGAGTTACTGATAAACCAGAGGGTGGTGCTGCTATCCAGAGGCTGCAGAAATAGGCCTACATGAACCTCATCAGCAGTGGAAATGGCCAAGTCCTATTGCTGGTGAAGAACGATTTCAGACACCACCATGGGCTAGGGGTGACCGTGTGGGAGGCAGCTGTGTGGAAAAGGCCCTAGGGTACACCAGGCTGACCATGACCCAGCAATGTGCCTTGCTGTAGAGAAGGCTAATGATACCCTTGGCTGCATGAGGAGGAGTGTTACCTGCACGTCAAGGAGAGGATTCCTCTTTTCTATTCAGCCAGACTCAGAGTGCAGTGTCTACTTCTGGGCTCTCCACCCACTACTCTCTTCCTGTCATGATTTCTTGTTCCCCTTTGTCACTTTTGTATTGCTTAGGAGTTTAAATTTTGTCTTTGCCTTTTCAGAAATGAGCTGTGAAACCATTACTTATATTAGCCAGCACTAGGTCAGGTTCCTAGGAGAGCAAGGGACTGCAGGGCAGCAGAAACACTTGCATGTACACCCACCTGATGAGACTGTGCTGTAGTTCATCCTAAAACTGTTTTGAATTAGGCTTGCAAAAGTTCTGATTGGACTTTGCATGGTTTTAATTTTTTTAGGGGGATTGAATACTTGGTACCTGCTTGTACTTTGATAATAGCAGTTATGTGCTTAATGTTGGTAGTCACTTTCTTACTTTGTTGATTAAATCCATTTAATCTTTGTTTAATTTTTAATGTCTGCTTTTGAATGACTTTTTCCTTGGCTTTGATTCCTGCCAAGCCTGTGGCAGACATGATGGCTAGTTCAACATAAATATAGATTTGAGAACAGCTGTGTGCCTAGAGTGCTTACATGGCAAAGAATCCCTAGCAGTTTGTAGCTGGCGTCAAGAATCACGTGGTTAGCATCCTGTGAAGGGGGAGCTCTTATTTACTCTTTGCTGCTTTTATTGTGATACTGCTGAATCAAGCTTTCTCTCCTTATTTTGGATCTTAGAACAATTCAACTACAGCATTGCTTTCCATAAAGAAAATTCTGCTGATTTCTGTGTTGTATCTTGTGGTTCTTGGCCTTTCCTTTCCCATGTGATCAGGAGAAAAAGGCCAAAATGTGAACTGATGGACAGCATAGAGGTCATTGCTCAGTTTATCTGTCACTAATGCTTCACTAAATCAAGTCTGAGCATGTAGCCTTTCCTGACTGACTTCTTGTTTGTATGCAGGTGGTGTGTGGGCAGGACCACAGTCTGTTTAGAACCAAGAAAGGTACAGTCTATGCATGTGGATGGGGAGCTGATGGACAAACAGGTAGGAACTCAGCTCAGCTTGCTTTTGAGGGAATTGATGAAAATAGCAAGCTGTCCTAATTGAGAAGTTGTGATGTGTATTTGTCATGCATGTGTGGACAGAAAGGGGCTGCTAATGTTTCCAGTTGTGTGTAGATGTTTTCAGTACTCTTGTGTAACCAAACTGAGACAATCCAGTTCATTTTTGAGGACCTTTAGGATGCTGCCCTGGCAATCCAAGCATGCACTTGGAGGAGTGTGTATCTGCTGTTTAAAGCTTCTGAGGGGATGTGGAAGTGACATGGGCAGCTTTGCTCTTCAGTTTGGTGCAGCTTTGCCTTCCTGGTTCTTGTTTTGGGGTCTGTTCTGTTCTTTTGAACTGACAAACAGCTTGGTAGCAGTTGCAAGCAATTTTAGCTTGGGATCCATGGGCAGGCACTTTTTATGGTGGCTTTTGCTGCAGAGAATTTCCTCCTCACCATCATTCCTACTGTTTGTTTTGCTGCTCCCAAAGCTGAGTTCTTCCCATGATTCTTTTGTGCCAATGTAGTGTAACCCAGCTGTCATCTATATTCTGTTTTTTTTTTCCAGGCAGCATCTTGTCATGTAAAGTGTTTGCTTCCCAGCCTCTTTTGCCATTTCCCCTGCTGTTGTCTTAACTGATTGCAGTGTGCTATCACTCATGGCTCTCGTTGCAGAAGACAGGATGCAGGCAGTTTGTAAAACTTCATCCCTGTTGGGATATTTGCCCGGCTTGGTTATTGTTCTTCAAACACTTTGGTCCATGCAGACAAGAGATATGAGATTCTGCAGAGTGTGTGAGGTATAAAGTTGTTGTGTACTCCAGAGAGGTGCTTTGGCTAGTAGCAGTGGTGTTTGTGACTACTTGTCTGTTGCAGCTGATGGACAGTAAGCAGTATGACCAGAAAGATTTGTTTCAGAGAAAGGGTGATTTTGTTATAGCATGACAAAAATGGTCCTATGCAGGCATTAAAAAATTGTGTCTGGAAAAGAAATTCTTCATAATCTCTACTTTTTTTTCCTTTCAGGTCTTGGACACTATAACATCACCAGTGTTCCTACTAAGCTGCATGGTGACATTGCTGGAGTAAACATTATCCAGGTCTCTTCCTATGGGGACTGTTGTCTGGCTGTTTCAGATGAAGGAGATGTCTTTGGTTGGGGAAATTCAGAATACTTGCAGTTGGCTTCTGTCACAGAAACCACACAGGTCAGTTCACCTGAGAGTGTATTTTTGTGTTTCAGTTGAGCTGCTGGGCACGGAGTTAAAAATTACATGTTTCTCCCAATTCTTAGTTCTTTTGACAGCAGATGCAAACACCACTAGCAGGCTACTTTTACATAAGCTTACAAAACCAACCTGTCTGATGTGTTTATGTAGCTTTAGGGGGCAATATGTTTCCCCATTTTTTTAGGCAGAGGTTTGTGTCACCTCACCCCATTTTATTAGTCTAAGGACTCCATATTTTTCTTTCTCCAGCCAATGGACTTTGCACCAAATTGAGAGCCAGCTCAAGTGCTTTTGCTCATTTCAGGATAGGAATTAATTTTTTGGCTGGCTAATCTAGGATTTCAGGTGATACTACTTTGAGCATAGTGCTGATCCAGATGGCCCTTGGAAATTCCTTCCAGTCAAACTTGTATGATGGTGAATTTTTCATGGACATCCTTAGTGGATTTATAACTGAAATTCCAGTGTCTCACAGATAAAAGGATTTTTTGAGCAAACTTAGATGTGGCATTGGTAAGGTGCTTTCTTTACACTAGGCATTGTACTACTGGGGTAATTAGGCTGTTGGTCTCATGTTACAGCTACTTGAGGAAATAGACTCAAGAAATTAATCAATACTCAAGCAACTTGTGGCAGAAGGATAAGAGCAGACAATTTTATTAGAATAGCTTTAGCAAAATTTTAGAAAGCTTTGTTTCCTGTCCCTCTTCTCGTGTAACCTTAATGTAGAGCTAAATGCTGAGACCCATAAGGCCTGAGGACAATGATCATGCACTGTAGCAGTTTTCCTGGTTGGGTGTGTGAAGGAGGTCTGTGGCATCTGAAATGGATGAATGGCACATTTGCCAAAAATAAAGAGTCTGAGCTAAAATACAGATGCAGTCCGAGGTGTAGAATGGCAGAGCTATGAAATGGGAGCTTGCTCTTTACATATGTCAAGCTGTGTATGTATGTTGTGTTGGGCTGTACCAAATAAGTGTGATTTTAAGTATTTTTTCCCTAATATGTTAAAAAATGCCACTGCAGGCTGAATTTTAGTGATCTAATCCAGTGTGAAGACTTGAAGACATGCTCACTTATTGACGTCCCCATTGTGTCTGAATTTAAAAGCCAGGGATAAGAAGCAGTTATTAGTCATTCTCAGCCTTGTTGCCATGCATGTAAGCTTTTTAGTAGGTAACTTTTTCCACCTTGTCCTCACCTTAATGAATTTCCTGTAGGTTTTTTTTTTTTAATTTTGGGACTTGCATTCATTTTATTATTCAAGCAATAAAGGTTGTATCAGGAATCCAGTGTATGTAAGCTCTAACCAGAACTAGACAGCAAGTTAAAATGTATGTCTACTTTGCAGTTTACCTTGTCTCTAACAACGCTTCTGCAATCGTGTACAGGTGAATGTTCCCAGGCATTTGCCATTCAAGATTGGGAAGATAAAGGAGGCTGCCTGTGGAGGGACTGGCAACGTTGTGCTAACAGGTGAGTTCACTTCTAGAATCATTCACTTTGGTGCAAGGCCACACAGTAGGTGGATTTTGACATTTTGGAACAAGTATCTTGTTTTTTGGAGACAGGGAAATACTGCATGTTATGAGGAAAAAGCTGTGAGACTGAGAAATCTGATTTAATAATATTCTAGAGGAGTTGTTTTCACTAGTGCAGAGCATTGCTGCAGTGTGTGCTGTTGAGTGCTCTGCAGAGGAGAGCAGGGGCATGGCAGCTCTTTGCTCTTCTGGTCTCTTTTGCTGGTCACAGTGAGTATGGCCTATAATGAATATGGATATAGGGAGGAAGTAAGGCAACGCTTGAGAGAAAGTAGAGCCCTTCAGACTCCATATGAATCAGACATGTTTATAAATAATGAACTGGGATGGAAAAAAGAGAGTTATGAGAACAGTGAAACTGTGCAGCAGGTCCTTAGTGGCTGTTCTTTGGACTGTGGGTGTCTGGGGAGCATAGCTGGAGGCTTGCTGCATGAAGGAATGAGGGAGGGGATTGTATTACTTTCTTGAAGGATTATCTCCATGAATATGCTAATATTTATAACAGGGGTGTTGTGAGGACCAGAGCTTCTAATATGAAGGGAACAGAGCTACCTGATTTAGAAACTTACTCCTTTTTATGCTGTGCAAGTGTTGCCTTTCCCAGGCACCAATGCCAGGCAGAGTGACATCCAGTTGCTGGTTTGGGCATGCACCAAAGAAGAAAGCCATGATAATAAACTCTCAACCTCTGTCCCATTAGTCAGTAGTATTTTATCCAGCTCACTCTTGTGTTTGCATTATTTCCCTATGAAAGGTCTGCCTAGGAGGCTTGATTTGCTTGCATAGCTTAGGAAAGGATTGAGGCATTTAGATGGGAATGCATTATTTGCAGATTTTAAATAATCAGAAAGTGTTAGAATGACCTGAAAGAAAGGAGAATATCCCTTTGGTTCTGATTAACTCTTGGTTGTGGCATGAATTTCACAAGCACAGACTTTCTTACAAATGTGTTCTTATTGTAATGCAGAAGAAGGAAATGTTTTTGTCTGGGGATATGGAATTCTTGGGAAAGGACCAAACCTAATAGAGACAGCAGTGCCAGAGATGATCCCACCCAGCCTTTTTGGCTGGTCAGACTTCAATCCAGACACCCGTGTTGCTCATGTTCGCTGTGGACTCAGCCAATTTGCAGCACTTACAAGTAAGTTTCTCACCCTGCTGTCATGGGAGAGGTCATGTTGCTGTGTTATTGACAGAAGAGAAAAAAAAGCAAAAAAACCCACCAAAACCAAAGCAAACCCGAAACAAAAAAACCCTACACCCAAAAAAATGTACCCATCTTTCTTGAAATTGAAGGCACACTGGAATGCAGCAGCAGGGAGCCAGACAGCACATTTACAGATGTCAGCATGGTTCCAGGCCTATGTTTGTGCTAATTTATGCGTTAATTAAGAAAGTGTTATTTGTCTTTACACAAAAAACTTTTCTCATACACAAAATCCAGAAGATTTTTTCATTTTCCTGTATAAAATGAGCAGTTTAGAAAATTAATGTGATAAATGAACAAACTAAAACTGATTCTAAATGAAGCTAGATACCATTTTCTTGGCATTCCTGGCCAATTGAGTTAGCAGCCTGAGGTGGGCAGACCCAAGCATTTAATATGCAAAGGTTATGATACTGTGCTCTGTGCTCCCTGGGTGGGTTCTCAGCCTTTGAAGGTTTGAAATTTGAAAGGCATTTACCATCAGGCATCAGTTTCAGAGATCCAGCTGGCAGCAGGAAAAAATGCCAGGGCTGAGTCCTTTGGGACAAACAGTATGTGTGACACTGTCAGTTTGGTTGCAGGGTGCTTGTAAGTGGGCTCCCCTTGGTATTCAGAAAGAGTGTTCTGGTTAAATTGTTAATCATACATAAAAATTATATTGTGTTTTGGTTGTTTCTGTTGTGGAGCTGATCCAAACACTTCTGAGACCTGTGTGTTTTCCTGAGGAGCTCAAAACTCTTCAACTGTTGAACACAAATGTTTGCCTTTCCCTAGCTGTCATTAGAAGGTCACTTCTTTCAGACAGTCAAATAAGCAATCTCCAGGTGATGGCTTGGGACAGATCTCACTGCCTTGCTTATTGGATTTGCTCTGGTGATCCCTGATCCAGATAACTGCAGTTGTCTAACTTTCAGCACAAATTATTCACTTCACAAATTATTCCCTGGAATTTCTGCTGCTACACTCTTCCTTCAAATAAAATTCTGATGTAAGAGGGGGAAACAAAGATTTATGCACAGAACTTGTTTCTTGTACTGCTCATTAGGCATAATTTTCTCCAAACACAAGTACATTTATTGTACATTGAAGTAAATCTGGTAGCTGTCATGCTGCTTGTATAACCCTGTATACTCCCAGAAACACTGTAGCCACATTTGACAGCATCATAAATAGAATTCTTCCTTTTTAATGACTCTGTTCTTTTCTGTTTTTTTCTCCTGTGTAGACAGAGGAGAACTGTTTGTGTGGGGGAAGAATCTAAGAGGGTGCCTGGGAACTGGAAGAATGGAAGACCAGTATTTCCCATGGAGAGTAAGGATGGTGGTATTAAGGCCAAGAGTATATTATTTGGCTAGTTTTTGTTATCCTGAGGGCAAAGATTATCACTTGCTGTGTAGTTTTGTTGAGTAATTCTGAAAGGAGTGGAAGGCTAAGATGATATAGAATGCTTTGTTTTCCAGAGGTCCTTGTGGAGCCTGGGAATGGAGGTACTCAGTAAACATTTTAGTCTGCTATGCCAGTAATGATTTTGAATCCTGAAACAGCATCTGGTGCTGTGCCACCACATCTGAACAGCTTTCATCTTCCTGTCCATAACATCTGCTTGCTACCCTTCCTGCCTCTTCCTTCCCCTTCTGACCTGCTCTTCTATTTGTATGTGCTGCAAAGAAAACCATCAGTATTGGTCATCTGTCAAAATCATTACCTAAATAAGGTGAACGTTTTGGTTCGTAGTGGCTACAGGTCCACATAGTGGTGGGCTTCCTTCCCATCTATGGTGGTGGGTCAGTGGGCTGACTGGCAGGTTATCCAGGAGGTCCTTACTCAGCTGTCTCACAGTGCTTCCAGTTCTACTGCTTCCTCTGAGAGCCAGACTCAGCGGATGTAGAAGTGTCTTTGGTTCTGGAGTTCAGCATTCAGCCTAACAGATGCTCCTGGTCTCCATGAAGGCTAAGTAGGATATGAGGGAGGCAATCAGTTGGACCATCCTGGAGTGTCTGTCTGAACTTGCAGTAAATGTGTTTCTGTAGTATGCTTTCTTCTTTGTTTAAAAATGAACAAAACCAGACCAGCTCTGGAACATTTGCCTAAAATCACAGTGCTGTGGCTGGGTGGAATTTCTGAATTCATTTCCCCAGATGTAGGCATTGGGGGTTATGCTCTTTCAGACAGCCAGCTCCTGTCTGACATTACTGTGGCAATGTGCCAGGATCCTTGTCTGTGACCTCCTGCCCTAGAAGTAGCTGCTGTCCTCTCTCTTGGCTCTGAGGAAAAACTTGCTTTTTTAGACTCTGCTTTCTTCAAGTTTGAAGCCAGTTTTAAGTGAATAAGCTTCAGGAGTGAGGAGCTGGTCTCTTTGCATCAAAGCACAAACTGCCTTAGGCTGAGTTGAGCCTTTGCCTTGTTCCAGTTCTTGCTGATGAAAGAAGGGGCAAATCCCTGTGGTGCTTGGGCAGATCCTCTTCCTAATGTCTGGGTTATGCTCTGTTCAGTCATGCTGCTTCTGCTGCTGAACAGATGGGCTGAGGCTCCAATCTCCTCACTGTCTGCTGGTGAGCCTGCTCTTCTTTCTCCTTCCAAAGCTTTATGTGCTTCTGTGAAGGAAAGAGAGGAGTATTTCACAGCTCAGTGCACAAGCCTGCTTGGTGCTGAATCTTGCTCTTTCTGTGTTTTCTAGTTGGCACTTGCATTGGTACAAAACCCTGTGAAATTAGTGACATGTTGAGTGGAAGGATGAGAAATAGGAACTGCCAGGTGTGAAGTATGAGCTTGATAAACAACCCACTCTCCTGTGTTTCATCCAGGTGACTGTACCCGGTGAGGTGGTGGATGTGGCCTGTGGAGTTGATCATATGGTCAGCATGGTCAGGTCTTTCACCTAAGGATGCTGCTGGGTCTCAGCACTGTACCAGGGCAGTGCAGAGACTTGGTGACAAGCTTCTTGGAAAGGAAAACTCACTTTATGAAACCAAGGGACTGTGAGCAGAGACAGCCACAGCAGTGTCTGGGTGCTTTATCATCCCTGCATTACTGGAATGCTCTGCCTGGCTGCAGGAAGGAAGCACGTGCCCTGAGGAGTGTGGAAATGCACAAAGGAGTGCTCTGGCTCCTGCGTGATGAGCTCCCAGAGGATCTGAGGCCCGGCCTCAAGCTGGTGAGCCCCTCTTTGCCTGAAGATGAAGAGCATCTCCCTTAAGGAAGACTGGCATGGGATGAAATCTACAGCACAGAACATTGATACATGGACATTTCCTGTCACTAGCTCTGGAGTGTCAGCATTGGGCAGAGCCAGACTATATCTCAAGGGAAAATTTGTGTGGTTTTTAATTACTATGTGGAAGAGTGGTCATGCTAGGTCTTGAAGCCCAGCACGGCTGTCCTGCATGGCCACCCTCAGCTGCACTGTGCCCAGGCTGTTGTCCTGTGCAGAAACTGGATGCACAGCCCTTGGAGGCAGTGATGTGTCTCTGGGCTGTTGATGGCTTTCTGTGTTAGTGCTAAAGACTGAACACCAAAGGAACACATTCAAAGAGTGTTTGCAGGGGTAAGTACTATTAAATAAGACAGGCTCTCTGTGCTGCAGGAGGACAGATGGATGGTGACAGAAGCCAATCTAGCTTATTGAGGAAGGCTGGAAACAAAGCCCTGCAAAATCCTGCTCAGGCATGGATGTGAGCAGTGCTCACTGCCCCTCAGGTACCTTTGTCTCCTTGTGCTGATCACACATCACTGCCTTTTTTTTTTTATTCCCCACACCCTTTCTGTTTTCAGAAGTATGGCTCTCATTTGCAATTAGCTGGGTATTTCAGGATTGCCTAGCAGGGGAAGGACTCTTAATGGGTAAGAAGCAGAATTTCATTCCTTGGTACCTTCTTAGCAGTAAGTTGATAGAGATGGGATGCAGTAGCTGTGAGTATCTGTAGCAGGCACTTACCCAATCTCACACCCAGGTGTGGGAAACTGTCTCCTGTGAAACAGTCCAAACATCAGGCAGAGTTTTGTCTTTTCTCTCTGTGTGGGGTACTTCTAGTGTGCAAACTATTTTGGTGGAATCCAAGGTAGTAGGTTTTCAATAAAGTGATTATAAAATCTTTATCCGTAGTAATAGGAATATTCTTGAGCATGATTTGCTCATGCATTGATTGGATCTGCATTCGAAGTGCAGCATTTTGGTTCACAGTTATGTGATGGGAAACCACTTCTGTCAGCTGAGCCAGCTCCACACCTGCAGGACTGATAGTGCTGTAGTCAGGCATTGCATCCATGGCCCCATGGGACGCCACCATGTTGGCTTCATTAGATGACATTCTGTACCAAAACTCAATGTGTAAACTTTACCTTGGTTAAATAAGTTCTGAAGGGTTTGCATAAAAGATAGGAAAGGTGAACCAAAGTACATGGAAATAGAGACACCTCTCTTGAGTATTTGTTGAGTAGTAGTTTCTGTGTAACAGGTATTGCTGGGTGGGGAGGCAGAACTGCTGCTATGAAACTGGCAGACTTCACTACTCTGAGCTCCCATTTGGTTGGCTTTAATTTACACCTGATTCTACATGCAACCTGGGCGACTTGCAGTGCCCAAGCCTGTCTTGTTGGCCTTATGGGAGTAGGTTTGCCCTTTCAACTAGAGGAGGCTTATTAAACATGGAAAACACATAGAAAAACTGGTGAGAAAGGTGTTCCAAACAGTTCTCCATGGATGTTGCTGTTGAGGTGGGCTGGTTAGTGCTGGGCTCTCAGCTGCTCCCATTTCCCATTCCCAGCTGCTTCCCAATGCACTTTGGGGCTGGGCCTTCTGAAGAGCTGGGTTGAGTCCTTGTCTTGCATTCTTGCTGTACAATAAATTGCAAATTTTTGTTAATGAGATGCCAGTGAGGTCCTCAGCCCTCAGTAGGAGTGTTGTATGGCTTAATGCAATGGGGGTGTTTGTGCCTCCACTGCAGTGGTTGTGGACATTCTCAGACATGTTGCTTGTGGGAGCAAGGTTAGTGGCAGTGAGGGCAGCAAGCACCAGCACTTACCCATGGTTTGGTTACAGTGTGGGGGGAGCATTTTGACTTTAGCCAGGTGACCCCAACCTGCTCTGTCATCCCTCCCCCATCAACAGGACAGGGAGAGAGAATCTGAAGGAAAACATGTGGGTTGGAACAGGAACAGGGACCTGTTACCATCATGGGCACAGCAAACTCAGTCTGGAGAGATTATTGCCAATGAAATAGAGCAGGGTAATGAGGAATTAGTATGTTTTAATAGAAGTCTAACAGTGCCTTTGCCACACATCTCCCTTCTTCCCAGGCTCAGCTCTGCTCCTGACTTTACTACTTCTTCATCTCCTCTACTGACCCTTGTATTTACATGGTTGTCTGTCTCAGATTCTTACTCCTTTCTTTTGGCTGCTGCTGTGCAGCAGTTTTTCTCCTTTCTAAAATACAGTTCTTTGAGAGCTGCTGTTGCTGATGGCTCAGTGTTAGCTCAGAAAAAGAAAATGCCCTCTTCCCTGCCACACCCCCTTGTCTGTTGAGGGCAGATCCAACCTGTGTGGCTTATGCTCCTCCTGCAGGATCAGGGCCACACAGGAGCCTGGCTGTGCTGGGGTAGCTTCAGGTCACTGCCATTGTGAACTGCAAAGCGACTTTGCATCATTTTGTCCTTCAAAGTATGGCAAAGTAGACAGCCCAAAATATACCAGCAACCCTAAATATACCTGCAGTGAGGGAGTGTATGGGCCAAGGAGGCACTTGGGGAGCAGCTCAAATTAGAACTAGAATAACCTACTTGATTTGGCATTGATGACACAAGTGATTTGTCCTCAGATGAGCACTGTGCTGGCGTGTTTGGCTTAAAATAGCCCAGAAGGGCTTTGGGATGGTCCCCTGGTGCCGAGCCCTGTGCAGGAACAGCTCCAAGCACTGCAGTGGCCCAGCAGGGTTGCCACAGCAGCTGAGGGCTGCAGGAGCTGCAGGAAGGATGGGGGAGAGATTCAGGTCCAAGTGTACCTGCACAAGCTCAGGCCTCCACACCCCACCATCCCAAGGGGTTCTGGCAAATCCCTGCTGGGGAGCTGAATCCAGCACGGCTGCTGGGCTGCCCTGCAGCCCCCACACAGCAAAGCTGTCTCATCTGTCAGCAGACGGGCCCACTGGGAGTAAAACACATGAACACCTGTAAGACAAAGATTATCTTAGGCACTTGCTGTGTTACAACAGACTTTTCTCTACAGGATCCTTCGAAAACAGATGAGTCAGAGAACTAATAATTAGCCTTAGGCATTCAGAATACTCCTGGAACAATATTACTTCACTGTGCTTCATCATAACTCATAAAAATACATTTTTGTAACATTTTTTGCAAGGGGCTGGAATATCCCCCATCTCCCTCCAGTGCCCCAGCACCTCCTGCTCAAAGGGGTGAGCCTGGGCAGGTGAGCTAAGAAAAACACTGATAGGAGAAGGCATCAGTGTCTTGGGGTCTGGACACCAGTCCTCAGTCCTGTCATTTACCTTAAGATGCCATTTGCTTTTGTGGGTAGTTGCAGGCAGTGTTAAGGTTGTGTGGCAGTATCTGTGCTTATTCATTTGGGTTTTTGTTTTACTGGCTTAAACCCTTGAGGCAGTGCTCTGCATTAAGGCTGTATTCCATATTAACACTCCCTCAGTTAATTTCTTACATGAATGTTTTAACACTTGATCATGAGACTAAACAATGGATTACACTATACTAAAAAGGAGATGCTTTTCTTGACTACAGTTTATGTAGATGAGCTGCTTCCCTTTAAATGGTTAAAACTGTAATAGGGTGATGATGTGTCTGATTTCACTGTTTTTCTTGCACACTTCACACAGGTTATTCAGCTTTTTCTTGCAGACCATGTGACAATGGTACTGTGCACCACGCTGCTGTCTGAGACTCAGGACCCACAGTGCCTGCCCTAAAATAGTCCATGAGGAGGCTGAGTTTGTTCCCCTGCCCCTGCTGGGGTGCAGGGCTCTGGGGGTGTCCTGCCAGCATCTCTGGGGGGCTGCCCAGACTCCTGGGCACTCTGCAGTGAGCAGGTAAAACTGCATCTGGCAAATACACTAGCAGCATCTCACTGACCTCTTATTTTCAAAGAAGAGGATAGGGCAAGTTTGGTGGCTTCCAGAGAACAGCTGGAGCATGGAGATGGTGGTGGGTTTCATTTTTAGGGGTACAATGCACCCAGAGACAGGACCTGGCCACCAGAGAGACTTAGGGATGTCTGGTGGCCTTCCTAAACTCTGTGTGTGTGTGAGTGACACCTAACATGGCTGTAGGTGAAATAAATGAGTTACATCTTGCAGACAGTGCCAAGCTCTGCTTTATTTTCATCAGTTTGATCAGTACAAAAGCAGACAGCATAAGTTCCACTTTTTTTTCTTTTTCAGTTTAATTACTTTACAAAGTACAAAATATACTGTCATTTATTTTGGAACATTAGGATTTTTTCTTTCTGTTTTGTTTTTTCATACAGTACATAAATCTCAGCTTTTCAGCATAAGACCAGCAAAGAAAAGCAGCGTGTGCACTTGCTGGGAAAGCAAAGCAGCCACTTCTCAACGCCACACAATGTCCAGTGCATTATCCCAAGCTGCTGCACCACTCCTGTGCCTGGTGGTGTAAAATCCCCCTTGTGCAGAGGTGATGAAGGCAGCTGCTGCATTCAGGCTCCCCTGTGCTTTGTACCCCCAAGCTTGCAGGAACTGCCCACCCACACCTGCAGGGCTTGGCCCCACTGAGCCCCTGGGCACTGCTCACAGGGCAGGTGCTGCAGCCCAGAGCAGGAGGTGTACCAAAGGCCCCTGCATGGGCAGGATTACCCCACCCTGCCTGTTTACATCAGATCTGGTAATTCAAAGGAAATAAATACACTTTTTTTTTTCCACCCTCCCCAGTGAAAGGCTGCATGGGGTTTCTGAGAGGTGAGCAGGGAGGAGAGGCTGCCAGCATTTGTGGTTCCCAGCCTCACATCAGCCTGTTTCGTCTGAGGCCAAAAGTGGTATTTTACTTAGAGAGCTTGATACATGAATAACTTATGAAATAAAAAAGTCTAAAGATCTGTGTTTCCTCCCCGGGCTGCCCAGCACAGCTGTTCTAAGCAGCCAGGGATGAGAGACAGATCCTGATCCAAGCTGGGCAGCTTCTGCACCAGGAGCATCTCTGCTCTCTTGGCAGTTCTAGAAATTTGGGTTTGTGTTGAGTAGGTGTCTGGAGGGAATCTGGGCTCCTCTGGGGTCCCTGCAAAGGGGAGAAGGAGATAGATGCTCAGACTTGTTCAGGCCCCTTGAGGCACTGATAAAGTAGCTCTGTGCCAGCCCCTGGTAGCCAGCCCTGAACGGGAGCAGTGCAGTGGGGCTCTGCCCCTCCTGTGGGACCCTGCAGCTCAGCCCGGAGGAACCAAACCAAAAATCTGCCCTAAGCACCGATGAGGACAGCGAGGCTCCTCCTCCCTGTGTGCAGCTCTCCCTCAGAACTAACCCTGGCTGGCTGCCCCGTGGTGCCCAAAACAGCAGGAGCCAGCCAGGCAGGGCTGTGCTGTGCAGCCACAGCCAGCCTCACTGCAAGGGGGGGCTGCAGGTGTTCCCCAGGGCATCAAAACCCAAATCCCAGCAGCTGTAGGAGCTGCTGGCATCACTCGGTGCTGGGAGCAGGTGAACGTGTCAAGCAAATGGAGGTGATCACCTGCCCTCTAATTGTAATGGAAACAAGGGGAGAATGGGTTATGCAAGGAGGCAACAGTAAGGGAATGAGACAGGCTCTTCCAAAGGCTGGAACAGAGCTTCTGAAGCTGCATCCTGCTATGAGTTACTGCCTGGCAGCCTCCTCTTCTGCCTGCCCAAGAGCCATGGTTGTCCTGGTGCTTGGGCAGGCGGGACAAGTGTCCCCCCTGTGTCACTGCCACCCCCAGCTGCTGCAGAGGCAGTGTGGAGGAGGATGCGCTGGCAGAAAATGTGGCTGCCACTGTGCTAAATGAACACCCTGCTCCTCAGCTCCCTGTCTCACAAGCCCCTAAGTAAGCCTGGAGCCCACACACAGGAGGGATAACAATGCCAGCCATAGCCAGCAGGGACAGGGGACACAACCCTGGCTGTGACACCATAGTCCTGGGCTGGAAAGAGGCACTACCCTGTGCATCTCCAGGCATTAACCTGAGCACTAATGGCACTTGGATGCAGTTCTCACACTGTTATCAACAACCATTGGATTGGTAGGATTATTTTTCGCAGCCAGGAGAATTCTGGTGAGAGGAGAGGGCAGCCCTGGATCCAGCACAACCAGAAGAACCTAGAAGAGACTGCCCTGGGATGCTGATCTGCCACGGTATCAGTGGAGCAGTTTGCAATTGGAGAACAAATAAAAACCTTGAGGATGGAAGCACTGGCACATGGGACTGGCAGGGATCTGGGTGGGTGGGGTTTGGGGGAGAACGAGGGCATGGCTCATGTTTAATTCCATGATATAACTAAAAAATGGCTGAGGTCATTGAGCTGGACCAGACAGTTCCTAATGGGTGAAGGAGAAATGGGGTGCTCCTCCTCCTGCAGAGCCACCTTCTTTGTACTCTGAACCTCCTGCATCAGCACCAGCCAACTAACACACAAAACCAGAGGTTTGCTCCCAGGAAGGAAATCTTAAAACTTGGGGATTTCTTCAAGAGCAGCCTGGTTCAGTAGCCTGTCTGTCTGTCTGTCTGTCTGTACTGCTGCAGGGGAACATCCCATGCCCAGGTCCTGCTCTCTGTGCAGTTGGTCCTGCCTAAAGGCAATGTCCCACAGCTGTAAGAGCACCAGCAGCTCTTTAGGTAATTTCAGTGATCTCAAAAATTCATCCCCATCCAAGGCTGGCATTAGAAATAATTGCAAGAAACAGCTACAACAAAGGCTGCAGATTTTTTTCTCTTTTACTCTATGTATAGCAACCCCAGGCTCCTTCTTTCAATGTCCCACATGGGAAACACTCCTGCTTTTGCCACAGATCTGCAGAGGAGACTGCTGCTTTCCTTCAGCAGAAGGGAAATTCCCTTTGCATTCCCTTCCAGCTGATGGGAATGGCTCTGTGCAGGCAGCAGGGACACAGAGGATGAGGGAGCTCTGTCTCTCCCCTGTGACCTGGCCCAGAGCAGCATCCTGCTAGCCTGAGCCTGGGGCTGCCTCAGCCTTTCAGCTGGCAAATGGGGCTGAACTCCTCTTCTAGGGCCCAAAGGAGCAGTAATGCTCACAGCAGCCAGCCTGGCAAGTGGGTGCTTTGAGCAGCATTCCCACAAGGACCAGGGAACTGGGGACCTGTAAAATGTTTCTCAAGTAACAAATGAGCAAGTAGGAATCCTCAAGCTTATTACTGTAACTGCAGAAAGCTGCTTTAAATCCTCAGGATGCTGAAATAGAAGCAGAAAGCCAGCCAGAGCAGGGGACTCTAAACTGCAGCCTCCTGTGGCATCTTCCCACAGGTGCTGTGAACAGACACTGCGTCTGCCACAGCCACACAAGGAGGGAAGCACCTGCCAGCCCTGCAAAATGAAGGATGAAAGGAGCCCTGGTTTTGGCATAATCTTTTCGGGTTGGGATGATCCCAGTCAAACCACTGGGTCTGCCTAGAGAGGGACATGGCCCCTGGTCATTTCTCTATGGTACAGGCAGAGGACAGAGCTGGACACAGGAGGAATGAGATGCTCCTGCTCTGCTCTCAAACACTTCAAAATTTCAATCCTGCCTGATGGGCATCTCTGTCCATGTCTGCTCATTTACAGATATTTGCAGAAAGCTAAAAATGGATGAAAACAAAACCCCAAGGGAGCCCAGGGCATTAAACAGCTGCTTTGCAACTGTCCTGCTGCACACAGCTGGGACAGTGCTGAGCTGGGCAGGCAGGGAGGAGCTGTGTGGCTGCCACCCCTCTGCCACTCCCTTCACCTTGGCCACAAAATTTGGGCACTCTCAGCTGGGAGAAGGTGCCAGGGGTTTGTGTTCCCTGCGGCCAGGCCCTCTGCAAACTCAGAGCTTGCAGAAGCACAGGTGATGGCTGGAAGAGAATTGCAGAGCAGGGGGAAGCTATCCCATGTGATCTGCAATAACAAGGTTATTTGTTAATGCATTCCCAGGCTTTGAACCTGAAATGACCAGTGCTGTCTAGAGAGACCAAGAAAGGATCTTGGTTATGCATGTTCCAAAGAGGTACAGAACCCTAAAATTCATACCCTAAAATGAGAATGTACTTTGACACATAATTCATCCATTCCTCCTTCATACAACGGGGGCTGTGCATTGCTCTGTGCTCACCAGAGCATCTGCAGAGGCTATTACTGCTGCAGCCAGGATTTGCTGATCAGCATCCAGTGCACGTCTCACACTGCAGAACCCCTTTCTCTCCTTCACCTTTGCTAACTGGAGCTGGTAGTTCAGCCCAGCTGTGCTTCATACGGATTAAACAAAGGAGGCCAAGGACAGCAGAGTAACACAAGATTATCTTCACAGTCAAGTGTTTCCCTTCCCAGGGAGCCTGGGAAGGTCCCACAGCCTTGCTGGTTTCTATACCAGTTCAGTGCTGCCAGGATTCATTCCTGAGGGATTTTGCTGGCCCCTGACATATGGAAGAGCACAGATAGACAGACAGATGCACTCATGGGGAGAAGGTATGGAAATCTGGAGGCAGGCTTGCACATTTCAGCCAATGTAAATACACCCCAGCACATGCTACAATGTGTACATACTATTTGGCAAAGGATTATTGGGTTTACTCTCCTGCACATAATAAAAGTTTAATCCAATCCAATGTTTGCAGGCAGGACTGGAACAGGTAAGTGAGATACCTTAATCTGTTTACTGGAAATGTCCACAACAGTCAAAGCAACAGAGGGAGAAGAAATCCTCATCAGAAAATGACTCCTTGTCCTTAATGGAATGTTGCTGGGGGACACCTTCTTTCAGGAATGAGCAGCAATGCTCAGCCTGAGGCCAAACAAAGAATTTCCCCCTTTTCATTAACAGAAAATACCAATTATCCAGTGCTGACAGGAACACTTGTGCTCAGTGAACAGTGAATGTACCAGTGCAGGACCCAGCAACTCCAATTCAAGTTGCTGACCTCAAAATTAAGGAGTTTGAACAACCTGATGCTCTTGAACAGCTGTGTGGGTGTATGGATTGGGAAAACCACAAGGATGGGAAGAACCCCTCTGGCCACAGCACCCAATACCATCATCACATCAAAACACAGGGTGATTTTTGGGAGCCTTCCCTAGCAGAGAGGCTGAGTACCAGGAGATATTCTAAGTACTGGGGGCTTAGAGGGGCCACGCTGCCCACC